TCTTCTTTTGAGTCCTTCCAACTGTTCCAACCTCTGCCTGTTACCCCATTCTAAAGTCACTTCCACATTTTTGGGTATCTTTACAGCAGCACCTCACTACGTGGTACCAATTTGCATATTAGTCCATTCTCACACTGCTAATAAAGACAAACCTGAGACTGAGTGATTTATAAAGGAAAGAGGTTTAATTGACTCACAGTTCAGCATGGTTAGGGAGGCCTCAGGAAACTTACAATCATGTCGGAAGGGGAAGCAAGCATGTCCTTCTTCACTTGGCAGCAGCAAGGAGAAATGCGGAGTGACGCAGGGGAAAAGTCCCTTATAAAACCATCAGGTCTCATGAGAACTCAACCACTATGAAGAGAACAGCATGGAGGTAACCGCCCCCATGATTCAATTACCTCCCACCAGGTCCCTCCCATGACATGTGGAGATTATAGGAACTACAGTTCAAGATGAGATTTGGGTGGGGACACAGTGAAACCATATCATTACCCAAATAAAATCTTGAGCTCATGTGGTTGTTATACTCAAAGAAATTTAGTTCAGCATCCAAATAAAATTAAAACTGCAAATACATCTTGCAGTCTATTTAAAGGGTCAACTTGTTACCAAGAGAAACCTGTCCCAGATGCCCCTGCCATTCATTTTCTGGGTTTCTCTCTCACAGCTGATGTGATGTCTCTCACTTTAGCTTTTTCCTCTGCATTAACCCCCAAATTCGCTCTAGTTTCTTTTTTATTCCCCTTTCTTTTCCTATGTTTCTCTTTTATGTAAACCTCCATCTCATTTTTAGATTTTTTCCCACACTGATAAACTGGCTGTGCACAGCAGAGCACAGGGAAGTGCTTTACTGAGCTATGAAGCAGGAGGTGAAGCAGGATGTGGATAATCCTATGTAATTCTTCTTGCTCCTGTTACACTGATTTCTGCATGCAACTTTTCTTCTAGTCTCCCAGGAAAGAGACCTTGAAGTAATCCTCGACTTTTCCTTCCCTTCATTGTAGTGTACTGTAGTCATAACAATTTTTTAAAGCTTGAGAATTTAGACAGATTAGAATTTGAGTGACAGTCATGCCCCTTAGTACCACTTGTACTAGTGAATAACTTTTTTAAACTTAAAACTTTTTCCTTATATCAAATATTAATAATTTTAAAATTCAAATGGTATTTCTAGATTTGTTACAAAAATAGTGGTTGCCCACACCACACATTCCCACTCCCAATTCCTTCTTCTTTTTTTTTTTTTGTGAGACAGGGTCTTACTCTGTCGCCCAGGCTGGAGTGCAGTGGCACAATCCCAGCTCACTGCAGCCTCAAATTCTGGGGCTCATATGATCCTCCCACCTCGGCCTCCCAAGTAGCTGGGACTACAGGTGCATGCCACACCTGGCCAATTTTTAAAAATGTTCTGTAGAGACAAGGTCTCACTATGTTTCCCAGGTTGGTCTCCAACTCCTGTGCTCACACAGTCCTCTCACTTTGGCCTCCCAAAGAGCTGGGATTATGGGCATGAGCCACTGTGCCTGGCCTTATGCTCATATTTTCTAAGAATGTGTATTTAATGTTCTGTCCTTACTTTTCAGTTGTGTGTATAGTCTATGGACTTCCTAACTCTAGAAGACAAGGATTTAACTCTCCCACCCTCACTTCCTAGACACGCGCACATTTATATAAACACATATAAGGTCTCCTCCCTTTTTTCTTTTTTTTTTTTTTTTTTTGAGACGGAGTCTCGCTCTGTCCCCCAGGCTGGAGTGCAGTGGCCGGATCTCAGCTCACTGCAAGCTCCACCTCCCGGGTTCACGCCATTCTCCTGCCTCAGCCTCCCGAGTAGCTGGGACTACAGGCGCCCGTCACCTCTCCCGGCTAGTTTTTTTTTTTTTTTAGTAGAGATGGGGGTTTCACGTGTTAGCCAGGATGGTCTCGATCTCCTGACCTCGTGATCCGCCCGTCTCGGCCTCCCAAAGTGCTGGGATTATAGGCTTGAGCCACCGCGCCCGGCCTCCTTTTTTCAAAAATAATTATAACACCCCTTTGGGTTAAACTCCCATTCAGTAATTATCTTGTTATAATTACATATTTATTCACAGCCAAGACATATGCTATATCCTTTTTTGTTTATTGTTCTCACTAGACTCAATAATGGCCTCATTTATTTCCTTATTCACTTTCCTATCTAGCTATTACTTATCATCAAATTCTGAAGATCCCCTTTTAAGATATTCATCCATATCAGGCATTCCATGTGATTCACTTCCTTCTGGAGACATCTCTCCTAGAGGCCTCTATCCCCTATTGTATAAGTCCTAGCTTCTGTCCTAGTACTTGCCACCTCCTCTCTCCTAAGCTGGGACTTCCTGTTTTCTAGGTCCCAAATATTATCCTCTTTCCTGACTTATTTCTTAATTTTGGAGAAGAATATCCTCCAGTAGCTTTCTGAGAAAAAGATATCTGAAAATATCTATATCCTACCCACAAACAGCTAATATAATGAGAGTTGAATTCTATGTTAGAATTATTTTCTTCAGAATTTTGAAGTTAATGCCCCATTGTATTTCAGCTTCCTGGGATTCTGTGGAGTATTTCTATGCCATTCTGATTTCCAGTCCTCTAAATGTGACCTTTTCATTTTTCCTTCAGGAAACTCGGAAGATCTCTTCTTTATCCCTGGCATTCTGAATGCTGTGGCAATGTGCCTTGGTGTTGGTCTTTCTAGGTTTGTTGTGCTGGGCACCTGCTGGGCCCTTTCCATATGAGAATATATCTTCTAGACCTGGGAAGATTTTCTTCTCTTCATTTCCTCTATTATCTTTCTCTTTCCTGTTTTTCAGATGTCACGTTTGTGTCTTTTTTGTTTTTGTTCCATCATGAGTGATACCATCAAATCCGTCTGGAAGGCCAATGAGCACTGTCACCTGCTGGGGCTCCCTGCTCTGCCTGCCTTTCAAGGCCTCCCCAGTCCAGCTCCGCTTCCTGCTCCCCTCAGCATGAACCTCCTGCACATGAGAGTTTAGTCTCCTGAATTTTTCCCTCAGTCTCTTTCCTAGGTTTGCTCCTTCTGCTTGGAGTCCTTCCTCTTCTAACCCTTTGTCAGATCCTACTCCTCCTTCCAGGCTCAGTTCCCACATTTGCTCCTTGAAGCTTTTTCATCCCTGTCTTAGACTGTTCAGACTGCTACAGCAAAGTACCTTAGACTGGGTGGTACAAATTCATTGCAAATTCATTTCTCATAGCTCTGGAGGCGCTGAGGTCTCAGATCAGACACCACCATAGTTAGGTTCTGGTGAGGCCTCTCTTCTGGGTTGCAGGCCATTTTCTCATTGTATCCTCACATGGTGGAAAGTGGGCAAGAGAGCTCTGTGGCCTCATTATGGCACTATTCCCATTCATGAGGCTCCATCCTCATGATTTATTCACCTCCCAAAGGCCCCACCTCCAAAGATCATCATGCTCGGATTAATTTCAACCTGTGAATGTTGGGGGGGACAGAAACATTACAACCCTTACTCCTTACAATATGTTTCACTTGTTGCCTGGTATTTAAAGTATGTTAGTTTATGTCCCCAACCCCGATGAGTACTCCTTAAGACTACAGGTCATTTCACATACTTCTTGGTGTCACCCCACAGCACTAATCAGCAGTAGGTGCTGATCACCATCTGTTGATTTTACTTAAAGAAAGGCCCATCAGGAAAGTAAGCCTTGTATGCTGAATGGAGATTCCTTCCCAAATACTTTAATGCAGACCTGGTGCCACTTCCATTTGGTAATGTTTTCTGAGTACTTGATCAAGTGCTTTGCCAGAGATTCTGAAGAAAATCGACAGAACATTTTTCCTAGAACAGTATTTGACCATTTCACTTCCCTGATGGAAGACCCATTAGCTCACCAGGGCTTATAGCTGCCTTGCCGAGACATACTGTGTGTAAGGATAGGTTTGGAGATACATCCTAAATAAGGTGATATTATTAAAAATTGACATTTGTCAATAACTTACTTTTCAGAAAAATAAATCAGACTGGTTTCAAGGTCATCACTCACACCTGGCTGCCAAAATGTTTGCTTGGTTGTAGAGAAAAAGGTGGAACTGCAGCCAGAGGGGTGGACTTGCGCATCACCCGGAGTTCACCTGATCTCCTAGCCCAAGGGAGCATGTCCTGAAGGTGAGTTTCTCTATCTTAGAGCAGCTGCAGAAATAAGGCTGTGATTGTGGACTGCAGAGTCCAAACTCCTGAACGTGACGACAGGGACCTGCACGATCAGGTGGCACTTGTCCCCGCCACCATGTATCCACAGCAGCCACTGGAATTCCTCTGAAGCATCCTGCTCCCTCATTGCTATTGCCTCAGCCTTTCCTCTCCCTGGAATTCTCTCCCACCCAATTCCAGACTAGCAAACCTGCCCGAAACGACTTTCAGCTGAAGAGTAGTTGAGAGCGACAACGGTGGCGGTCAGACCACCCGGCCAAGAAGTGCTCAGCGCTGACTGGGGCCGGGCCGTCCCGGTAGGGAGACGAGGGTCGGACGCCGGGACGTCCCCGCTCCCTTTCCAAGCAGGGCGGGGAGGCGCGCGGCGGGTCCCCAGGGCAGGAGCCCCCGCGCCGTCCCCGTTTCCGGCCCAGAAGTCTCCCGGCCGCGATAGCACAACTGCGGCCTGAGGCCCCGGGAGCCGCCGGTCCTCCGTGCCTGTGGCAGGACAAAGACCGGCATGCAGCATCAAGACACAATCCCGGCCGCAGGACAGTGTATGAACAAAGACGTTCAAGGGCGGCACCCGCCCGACGCCAGCGGGCAGCTACCTGACTGCGGGACCCGAGGTCGGCGAGGACCTGCGCAGTTGCTGTGGCAACAGGCCGTGGCGTCCCACTCCGCCGGCGCCTGCGCACCGTGCCCCTGCTCCCTGCGCCTGCGCGTCTCTCTCCCCCGCCCCACCCACGACGCCTGCGCGCCTAACTCTCGCAACGGCCACACAGACCCCGCCCCTGCGAACCTGGCCAAGTCCCGAGCGGAAGCGCCTTGAGCGGAAGCGGAAGTGAACGAGGCGGCTGTGGCGGTTGCGGTGGCTGAGGCGGCTGGGCCTAGGGCGCAGCGGGCGCGTTGCGGCTGGTGTTGGCGCATCTCTAGGTAGGGCCGGGCCCGAGGGCACCCGCGCGCCGTCCGGGCCGCTTCCGGCCTGCGTGACCGTCCTTTACCCGCGTCCGACCCTTGTGCGCGTCAGCCTCTCGGCCTCTGCCCGGTCCCGAATGCCGTCCTGGCCGTGCTTCTGCCCTAGTCACCGCGGCTGCGACATCATGGGATCCTCGCTTCCCCGCTGCCGGGCCTGTCGTCATCCCTGCCCCTGCGCAGGACCCTCCTGCCGGGCCCTGGTCCGCGTCGTCCCGTGCTCCCCGACCTCGCGACCCGCAGCTGCTCGCCTTGCCTGCCCCATCTTGAGGTCACCTGTGACCTCGACTCCCTCCCTTAAGATGTGCGTTTGGCTCCTGTGTGTCATTTCTGGGTAGATCTGTTATCCTTCACAGCTGCACGACTTTTGTGGTCGTCCGTAGAAGAGAGAGGCATCCTCTGATCTTTTCACTTTTCTCGCATATCCCTGAGTCAGGGCCCCAGCTCCTTGGGGAACGACAGAAAGACAGAGTTCCCTGCCAGCAAGGAGTTTACAGACCCGTGGGACAACACTGAGCGTCAAGCAGATCCTACGATGCAGAAAGAAAAGGGTACCTTAGAGGGTGATTTGCCCAGAGGGTCCAGGAGATTTCCATAAAGGTGGGATTTGAGCAGAGTTTTGAGTAAGCAGGAGTTGGGAGGTGAACGAGAGTTGAGAGCCTATTCCTGGCAGTAAGAACATAAATGTTTAAGACATAATGGTTTCAGACAGTCTGACATATTCTGGGAACTAGGAGTTGAGCATTTGTAAGACAAGAAATGTTGGTTAGGGATGGGGAATGGCAGGAAGGAAGCTAAAGAGCTTGTGGGGCAAGGAAGTGATGTGATCAGATCTTAGCGTTAAAGAGATTCAGTCTGGCAGATACAGGGGTGGGGATGAGGGTGACTGTGGACAGACAAAAGGCTTTTGTCGTCGTTCAGGGACTGGAAACCCCGAAGTGGTAGTGGAGAGAACCTGGAGGTAAAGAAGTGAGAGGGTGGACTTTCTCATGGCCTGGGTCCTTGAGTGGAGAAGTATGGAGAGGGAAAAGCCCAGAATGGGGACCATATCTGGAGCAGCAGGGTCCTAACCTCCATCTCCTGAATATGTGAGAGCATCTTATCCACAGCTGTACTCCCAAGTTCCCCCATGTCTAGTGTCATGCTTTTGTTTTTGACCTTTCTCTGACCTCCCCTTCACATAGGCTCTTTGACCTGCCCATCTTTGGACTTTACTGTTAGGAGCCACCCTCTGTCACCACTACAGCCTTCACAGTCTGTGTTCTGATACCTTCTTCATCCCATTTCTGCCATCTCCCAGCTCCGTCATTAGTGGATTTCCCCCCTGACTTTGCCATTCCTTTTGTTTTGGAACTCTAATTGAGCCTTCTTACCAGTTGTATTCTTGAAAAGCGCCAACACCATTGCTAGGTCAGGGTCCTCACCGCTCATCTTCACACGCACGCACACACCCACACACACCCCATTTTGTGACTACCTTGACCCTCCGGTTTTTTTACTTAGTTTCTAACCACCTAATCTTCCAGACATACTGAAATCTCTGACCACCTGTGGCCCACTGAGAAAACTACAGTAGGTGACATCTGGGGTAACATAGTTTTTAGCATTCTGAGATTCTCCCCCATCCATGATCCTGAATCTGGATACCATTTATGGGGCAGATTTACTGTAAAGCTAATGAAGTTCGGGTTTCTGGGTCTGTCACTTGCATGGGCCCTTACCTAGGCGCTGGGACCTCAGAGATCTTCTGTTTATAATTTGTATGCTTTTTTGAAAAGAGGGTTCCCAAATGGTATGTTTCAAGTCTTTTACAACTTAGATCCCTGCAAAACTCGCTGTTTGTCATATCCTTCCTTGAGATTTGCATTTTTGTCCTTCAGACCCCTTCCTTTCCCTACCTCCTACTTATTCCTCTTCTGGTGTGTGCTTTTTATTTAGGCATGGAGGAAAAAATGTGAATGAATGGAACGGATCAAGTTCCTGCCGTAACCTGACTTTATTTAGCTGTGATGTCCGGAGGGAGATGTCAGAGCGTAGTAACTCAGCATGTTGGACAGGATCTTGGTAACTTCTTTGTTGCAAGCTTAAATGCCTGTATTGTTAGATTTATTTCACTGCAGAGTTGCCACCCCCTTTAAGAAAAGGTTGATGCTAAGAAGGAGAGTCTGCTTAATGGAAATCATAAAAGCAACTCTTAACTCCATGGAAACTACAGTTATACACTATGTGAATTCACACAGGAATTTATTGCGACTTTTGATTTATTACTTTGAAAATGCCACCAGTTTTATAGAGCTTTATAGTGAGTATAAATAATTTTAATTTGTGTTCTGTTGGAAAATCTTCAGATTTAAAACACGTTTAAAGTTTAAATTATTTATGCAAAGATAAGGTATTTCTAAGGAATTTTTTAGTAGTAGTTTTAAATCTCCCTGAGAAGTAAATAATTATCTTATTTTTACAAATGAGGAAATCAGTGATGTACAAAGAGGTTAAATGATTTGTCTTCAGCTGTACAGTAAATCAGGGCCTCCCTTAACCAAAAAAGCCAGCTTCTGAGTACTGTTTTCCTTACAAACAAATGATAAAGAGGAATCTATTTTAGTCAGCTCTTATTATAGAACATTTAATGTAAGATGGAGTAAATTATATCCTTCGGTGTTTCCATATGTTAATACCTATCTGTGCACATCCATATGTATCTACACACTAGGTTCTTTAAAAGTGGGCAGTGTTGATAGTGTTCCTATTAGGACTTTAGTCCAAAGAATTAATTTAATTTGGATTTGTGCAAATTATTATAAAGTCATTTACAATAGAACCATGGCTAATTATGACCAAAGGATATTAACTTTCTGAATAGCAGAGGAGTTTTCTGGCTAGATTAGGTTTTTGCCCATTAAGCACCAAAATATCCCGTTTAGGTTGGGAATCTTCCTAAAGTGTATTATTTCCTGTGTTCTTAAATGGAATGTGCTGAATGTGATGTAAACTTTCCTCAATGATCTCAAGTGACCATTTAAAATATAATTTGTTATGTTGTGATGTGAACAGTAATGTTGTTAGGTTTACTGAGGCATATACAGCTATTTCCTGTGGGGGTTTTTGCATCTTTCCAGTTTTTAAAGTTTTCTGTCCTATTTCATTGAGTCAGCTGTTAGCACTTCTAACTGCTGTCAGTTTTCCTGCCCAAAGTTTCTGTATTTTTCTCTATTATGGGTTTAGGAGCTAATTGTTAGAACTGATTCGAAAAGTCGTCCGTAGATGATAATAAGATCCTAAATAAGTGTCTTCTGAATAAGTTGTTTATGCTGCAAGAGCCTCCAAGGGGTTTTGTAGAGCGCAGTGTGGGTAGGAAAGGCCAAGGGCACCAGAGTTCTGGGTTGCTGGGAGAAGCCAGAGAGTCTCCTTAATTCCCCATCCTCCTCTTAGGACCCACCGACAGGCTAGTGACTGGGAATAACGTGGGAAGGAGAGATCTCGGGTAAGGACACATCCCACAGGGTGGCTCTGTGGTGAGGCCTTTGCCCCACTGGCAGCACACAGCAATGACCAGATCACTAACCTACAGCAGTGCTAAGTGAGGGTTGTGGCCTAGTGAAAGGCAGCTGGGCTGTGGAGTCAGGTGGATTCAAATCCTGGCCTCCTTGTTAATTACTGCTTGTGGCCTCAGGCAGGTGATTTCACCTGACACAAAGTTTGCTGCCTCCCCAAAGTGACCCCTGCCTTCTTTGCTGCTAGAATGTGTCTTTGACTTAAGAGGCTGCACAAAACTGATAATGTGCTCTAATCTGGGCCAGTGGGACTAGAGGGGCTGCCATGGGACTTTTGGAGTAGACTGCACACAGTTAACAGTTAGGTATATTTTGATATGTGTGTTACAGCCCCCACCCAAAACTCTCTGCTTCTTAGAGGACTCCGAGTCTTTGCTTGCCTCCTTCCTCAGGGTTCATGGTCTTAGCTGGGAATCTTGTCTTATTCATTGCTGTATCCACGGCTCCTAACACAGGCCTTGGAGCACGGTAAATCCTGAATGGGTATTTATGAGTGAATGTGGGAATGTGGTTGAGTTTAGATCTCATGTTCTTAGTGTGTCTGTGGGGGGATAGAAGAGGGTCTCTCTGCCCTTCTTTTTCTTCTGTGATAGGAAGTGGCCCTGCATCCCACTAGCCTTGGGATTCTCCCAGAATAGGGAGGGAGAGTGGATGCTGAACAGCCGTAGCACCTGGTTCACGATGGACCATCTGACTCCAGTCTTGCCTGCCTCCACCCATCCCCGGAACATAGGCAGAGCAGTGTTTCTGAAACGCACTTGCTTGAGTCCTTAGTGACATATCATTTCCCTTCGGATGAAGCGTAGACATTTTAGCATGGTTTGCTAGGCCTTTCACTCACCTGGCCCCAACTCCTCCAGCAGTATCTCATCTCTTCATCTTCCCCTAAAATAGGCTCTAGACATACTGAAGGTGGCGTTGTTTTTTTTTTTTTTCCATTTCTGTACTTGATGAACAAATTTATAAATACAGTTGCAAGTTACATTAAACTACTTAATAGAGCAGATGTTTTAAGCACCTAATAATTTGAAAAAAGATACCTTATAGACCTTTAAAATATTTCCTCCATGTTGCTCATGCCTTCCTCTGGCCACACCTGCCTGTCTTCAGGCCTTCCCTTTACCCTCTCCTCAGGGGATTGTCTTAGAGCCCTAAACGAGGTTGGCTTTCCCTGCTGAAAATTCCCCAACACTCTTACCTTCTCAGTCCTACACTTGTGTCCAGAGACTGTTGACTGCTGGAGGGCAGGGACCTCATCTGTCTTGTTCATAGCTCAGTGACTACTCCAATGTCTGACATAAAGGTGCTTGCTGAATGAGTAAACCAAATTTATTTTCAAATAAAATTACCTGATGTTGTTGAAGAGAGCTGAATATTCATGTTACAAGTGGGTCTGTTCTTGATACA